CTCCTTTTAAAGGGTGCACTTGGAACTTTTCTTTTTTGTGCTTCCAGTGAGCTTTTGTAAATCAAATCGGCTAGGAATCGATATTCTTCCAATGGTGGAAGCGCATCTATTGATTCGACACCGATTGTCACCGCCGTTGCATATTTCTGCCAGTCGATGTTCCTTGTAAGATCAAATGGAACCCGAGATGGTTCTGCAGAGTGAGGGCCACACTTTATTGAAATGATGATTGGCAAATGATCGCTACCATGGGGATCATTGATAACCTTCCACTGACAATCCAATGCTAGCGATCTTGAACACAAAGATAGGTCGAGTCGGCTTTCTCGAGCCGGAGGTTTTGCTATACGTGTCGCTTCACCAGTGTTCAAAATAGTCAAATTGAAGTCGTCACATAAATCGTAAAAAATAGCCGCTCTATTGTCATCATATAGATCGCCCCACCCAGTACCATGGGAGTTCATATCACCCAGAATTAATACTGGGGATGGAAGAATCGAAACTAGATTCCAGAGTTGACTACGGCTAATGGAGGTTCTTGGTGGAACGTATACTGAAGCTATGCAAAGATCTTTGTTCTTCACATTTATTTGGCAAGCGACGATTTCGACGCCTGATAGAGCAGGAAGGGAAATTTTGTAGAAAGGGTAGCACTTTTTGACCCTAAAAGTACTCCTCAATAAGAATCGTCTCTATCCAGGCGAATAATGTTAAAATCGTGGAAGTTGAGTTCTTTATCGGAAGAAAGCCATGTTTCACAGAGAGCAAATATATCACAATCATAATTGTGAAGTAAAAATTTGAACGAGTCTAGCTTAGGCACTAGACTACGGCAGTTCCACTGTAGCACAGTGATCATATCTTCAACCTCGTTCGACGAATTATCCATCGAAAGATATGATTGATGCAAGGAGGGGCCATGAAACAGTCAATTGCTTAAGATATGATTCTAACGTTGGAAGCAAGGCAGAAACTAAGCTTCTAAGAGGGTCTTGTATGTTGAACATATTTAATATGAATTCCACAATGTCCGAAAAAGCTAGCAAACCTCGTTCGGACTTGGATTTCTTTTGAGAAGTTTGAGGAGCAGCTTTATTATTTTTATTATCTTTTTTGGGCAATGGTGGAAAATTCCTGCTGCATCCAGGGATTGGTTCAGCAGGAGCCTTCGGTTTCGTTTTTTCATCCCCATTACCCTGGGAATTTGGCAATCGTCTGGAGGTGACTTTAGTTTTCTTACGGCGCACTTTCGGGGAGGGGCATTTTCTTTTTGAGGAACCGTCTATTTTTGAAGGTGCGTGTACCACCGTAGAATCACCTTCATCGGATGAGTCAGAGTCCGATTCTTCAGCGGACAAAATCGAAAATTGGTTTGCATCTTGGACGGCTGATGCAGCCTTCACCATTTGAGCATATGTCTGCTTGGAGCGTCCAGAGATTGAACGCTGCACTTTATCGGAGTGCTGCTTGTACATCGGGCACTCCTGCAAAGGGTGAGGATTCTCGCCACAATAAGCGCATTTTACTGATTCTTTGTGGCAAGAATCCTCTTTGTGGTTTTCACCACATTTGCCACAACGAGTTTTGTTGCCGCAATGGCTGGCCGAGTGTCCCAGCCTTTTGCAGTTGGTACAATTGTATACCCTCTGTACAAACAGCCGCACCGGAAAAAAAGCACCATCAATTTTAACAAAGTTTGGGAGAACCGAACCTGCGAAAGTCACGCGAAACGAGTCTGAATGCCGATAAACTTTTTTACCGTCTAGCAAAGATGCTGAATGCAGTTGCCTTACATCCAGTATCTTCACTAGCGCGGTAGCGAATGTGGAGTTTTTAAAACTTCCCGAGGCACGTTTCAAGTCCTCGACAGTCAGACTCGCGTCGGAGACCACGCCTTCTATCTCCACATCTCGAGAAGGGATGTAGATGTTATACTCAACACTAAAAAGCTCGTGTTCAGCAATTTTATTTGCCACATCATAAGTCGGTGCTTCTACACGCAGTTTGTTGAATCTTTCTTTGTGTACCAAGATTCCCGGATACTTACGCAGCAAATCTCTCGTTATGTCGAGAGTTTTCAAAGGTTTATTTTTGGGCCGAAAAAAGACAATCCATGGTCCTTTCGAAGACGGTTCATAGTATCTGGTTCGCGTAACGTAGGCATCGGAAGATGCCATAAGTGTTGCGCAGAAGCGGTGCACAACCGCTTAAAAATGAAAAAAAATAAACTTAAGAATAACTTTCACCAATTAATTTACTTTACTACTAGTTGTTATCAAAAAAAAATAACTTTTTACTAATTGCAAAAATGCCCCACCCTATTAGGGAGAGCACACTGCCACAAGGCAACTTTGCTATACAATAGCAAGGCAATCGAAAAAACTATTCTATTATACTTATGCCGTTTGCTACTGCTTGCTTGCAGCTGCAGGTGGCGATACAATGGAGACGTCGATAACTGCGATACAATGGAGACGTCGTGATGATGGTGTTCTATTTTAGTAAAACACACTAGATTTAGTTTAGTAACACTCAAATAGTCTCTTTATTCACTAGCGAACTGTACTCTTCGATACGCAGTAGAGTTATGAATGAATCAACAAAAGCATGAATGAAGTGAGAGGCAAGAGAATGAATGACAACCCAGAAGGGGTGCACATACTCTGTAGGGATGTTCAAGTAATGCAACATCCTCCCTGTTTCAACAAAACATCACTTGTACTCAATAACATAGTCCATCAGCTTCTCTGGAATACGAGACACCCGTTTCGGACGACTGTTGATGGAACTGGATGCTGAATTCAAATTCTCCTTAGGCTTCGGTGACTGACACATACGAGGCACTGCGATCGGTAGAATCGGCGAAGTCGAAACTGGCACCACTGCCTGAGCTGGTGACTTGTTGTGAGAATTCTGGGTGAGAACTGATTGAGAACTGTCAACTGGATAACTGCAATTTTCTTCTTCGTTTTCTCCCTCCGATGGCTTTGGAACTGTGTTTGTTGTTAAATTTTCTGGCGACGATTCGGGTTCCTTACGCGGCTTCAAGTGAATCAAACTCCGACGATAGTTGCTGCCATTCACATTCACGGTGTAAGACCGATCACTGAGGCGATTGGCAACGGTTCCCGGCGTCCACTGTTTTGAAATTTCCGGATTCATCTGCACATAAACGGGTGATCCAGTCTGTAGGTCAGGTAGGTTTCTTGTTTTTCTGTCGTAATTCAATTTAATCTTCCTTCTGTTTTCCTCGATTGCTTCAGGAACATGTTCGACAACTTTCGGCATAAGATTCGCCCCGGATGTTGGTATTCCACAACGTGTAGAACGAGAAAACAAACGAGCAGCAGGACTAGAGCCAATCTTATTCGGGATGTTCCTCCAATGCAAAAGTGCATACCAGAAGTCCGTTCCGGTTTCCTCCGATTTCTTCAGTAAGCGCTTTGCAATCTTCACGGCTGCCTCCGATTTCCCGTTAGCCTGCTGATGATGAGGAGCCGAAGTGATGTGTTTGATGTCCCATTCCGTTGCAAACTTCCTCATTTTCTGGTTGAGGAAGTTCGTTCCATTGTCGGTCAACAAGGTTTGTGGTTTTCCATGTCGAGCGAAATTTCTACTGCAAGCTGCTATAACCGATTCCGGTGTCAGATCCTTTAGGATATCCACCTCAAAGAAATCTGAATAGTGGTCGACGGTGACCAGGAACTTCTGATTGCGACCACGGAACTCACTGAAGAAAACATCCATCGAGATCAACTGGAACGGATACAGGGGAATTTGATGACTCATCATGGGTGGATTCGGCTGCGACGAAGCAAATTTTGCGCAAACCGGACAACCTTTCACGACATCCTTGATTTGACTGCTCATGCCTGGCCAAAACAGGTTTGCTCTAGCCAACTTGAGAGTCGCTTCACTCCCATTGTGACTAACGTGACACTTTTCGATCATCTCTCTTCGCAAAGCATGTGGAACAAGAATGCGATCATGTCGAAAAACGATTCCATCCTGTACTGATATCTCATCCCGATACCCGAAATACACACGGAGTCCATCTGGTACTTTATCAGCCGTTCCAGGCCAACCTTGCTGAACAAAAGTGATGATGCTCTGCATACAAGGATCCCTCACCGTTTCATCCATGATCTCGTTCAGGCAACTGTCCGATATGTTAAGAAACTTCGTAAGCTCCAACCCTTCGACATGATCAAACACTTTGTAAATGTGCATCTTGTTATATTCGTCTTTCACTGCCTTGTCATCGAACGGTGCACGGGATAGCGCATCAGCCACAACATTTTCCTTTCCTGTGACGAACTCAATTACCAAATTGTAACGTTGAAGGTTGAGCAGCATATGTTGCAATCTTCTTGGAGCAGACAACAAAGGCTTCCGGAAAATGCTGATCAAGGGCTTATGATCGGTCTTCACAATCGTTTTCGGATTTCCAACCACAAGTTGGTCGAAACGAACACACGCAAACAGAATCGCCAACAGCTCCTTCTCAATCTGCGCGTAGTTTCGTTCAGTCGCAGTCAACGTCCTTGAGGCATAGCCTATTATTCCTTCATCCTGGTAGACAGCAACTCCCAATCCAAAGCAACTTGCATCGCATTCAATGGTCAATGGTTTTCTTGGGTTATAGTACTGCAAGATTCCAACGTCTGCAACCAAGCCCTTTACTCGGTTGAACTCTTCCACCTCAATATTCGTCCAGCGCCAGGGAACTTCATCTGAAATCAGCTTACGAAGGTTTGTCAGGTTGCTGCTAAGATTTGGAATAAATCTGCCCAAATAGTTCACCATTCCAATAAAACGGTGTATTTCCTTCCGGTTGAGAGGTGTAGGAAAATTTTGGATCGTAGCAACCTTCGACTCATCTGGTAGAAGACCTTTGCTTGACAGGACATGTCCGAAGAATTTCACAGACGTTTGGCAGAGCTTGAGCTTCGTTTTGTTCAGTTTTACGTTGTGCTCTTCCAGGCGAATTAGAAGATTCTTCAAGCATCTGTTGTGGTTAATGAGCGCTTCTTGCAAAGTTTCCCCAACTCCAAATATCAGCAAATCGTCTGCCAAACATTCGACTCCTTCGAGACCCTGGATAACCTCCTGCAGCTTCGTCTGGAAGATTTCAGGAGCTGATGCGATACCAAAAGGCAGCCTAGTCCAACGATACCGACCGAAAGGAGTCCAAAATGTTGTAAGCTTGCTGCTGGGTTCGTCGAGCTCTACGTGCCAAAACCCTTTCTTGGCGTCCGCAGTAGAAAACACCTTCGCCTTGCCCAGCTCAGGAAGAATTTCATCCAGTGTAGCAAACTGTAGGTTCGGTCTCTTCAGCGCCTTGTTGAGTGGAATAGGATCAAGACAGATTCTGATGCTTGAAGATTCCGGGTCACCCCGTTGCACAATCACAATGTTGCTGACCCAATCGGTATGCCTGGCTTCCTTCACGATCATTCCCTCCTTCTCCAATGATTCCAATTCGTTCTTCAACTTGCTTCTCAGGGCGATCGGAACACGACGAGGAGGTTGGATTGAAGGTGTAACAGAATGGTCTACCTCCAACGATACTTGACCTTCAAATTTTCCGTAACCAGAAAAGATTCCTTTGTGGCCTTGGATAATCTTCTCCGCTTCGATCCTGTGAACATTCAACAAGTTTGGCGAATTTGCTTCATCAGACTTACCGAATGTGACCGATTTGCAGAACTTGACGAAGCCCAGAACACGTGATGCCTTTGCCGACAGTAGGGGGCAATGGTCCACGTCCACAACTTGCAGAACCAATCGGTATCGACGCTTCATCCGACGGCACGGTATCTTCACTTCCCCAAGCACTTTGATGGGATTCCCACCGAAGCTTTGGAGCTTGTACGTCGACGGCATCATCTGCGGGGTTTCCTCTCCTGTGAGTTTGACCAACCAATTATGGCCAATCAGGCTGGTATTAGCTCCGGTGTCCACTTCGCAAATCACTGACTTCCACTTGTTATCAAAGTTGAGATCCAACTCAGCCATCACGCCACCTCTTTTCGATGAATTATCGAAAATCTTGCCGATTTCGTATTCGTCCTCGCTTGCTTCCGATGAACCTTCATTGCAAGAAAGTGCTTGCTCCTCCGAATCAGTGCTTTCGTCCTTCACCTCCTTCACCTTACGAGACTTCCTGTTCTGGAATCTGTTGCTGGCCTTGCATACCTTTCCGAAATGGTTCCTTCCGTTGCACCTATGGCACCGCTTACCAAGAGCGGGACAGGAACCTTTAGAGAAGTCATGACGGTCTCCGCAGAACTTGCACCGCTGTGATTGAGGCTTGGAACGGAACTTAGCTTTCGCGACTTTGTTCACCTCTACTTCCGGATAGAAAACTGAAAGTTCCTGGGACCGCTTAGTCGTGATCTCCTCCGCTCGACACATGTCTATCGCTTTCGTCAATGTTATGTCTGCAATGCTTAACATTTTTGATCGCATACTTGGCCACTTGTTGGACGTGACCACCTTATATGCGATAAGGTCCGTCTCTAGCACTCCGAGTTTAGCCATTTTTGCCAGAGTCTTGAGACGAGAGGCATAATCGTCGATTGATTCTCGAGTCTGCTGTGTCGTAGAGAAAAAGTCGAGCCGGTCCACTATGACATTCCTCTTCGCAACAACCTTCTCTCGTATGGCGGCCAATGTGGCCTCCGGATCTGCACCTTCCGCTGCTGTCAACTCGAAGTTGAAGTACTTTTTCCTTGCCGGCTCTCCTATGACCGACAGCAAGAAGCTTACCTTCTGTGGGTTTTCTTCTGGCGGCCACCGATCCATACCAATGGCCTTAGCGTAGTCTTTCCAGCTTTTCTCAAAAAAATCCATGTTTTCCTGCATGTCGCCTTCCACTGCTAGCGGCGATGGTTGCGGAACCTGCACATTCGACGCACTTGGCCGCTGCATCGCTTGAGCCTGATTCTGCGTCGCTTGCATTCCCTCCATCATCTTCGTAAACATCTGCATTTGTTGCTCCAACAACATTTTCATTTGATTTGCATCCATTTTTATGCGAATCACTCTTCACTCCCGATCCCGACCGAAAAATACAAAATGGCCGCTGACACGACGCGACTTGAGAACGATTTTCCCCGGACCGATTTCCGATTCGCGATTTCGATAATGACGCGAATTTTCACTTGAAGCACACGGTAACTTCTGACACCATGTTCTATTTTAGTAAAACACACTAGATTTAGTTTAGTAACACTCAAATAGTCTCTTTATTCACTAGCGAACTGTACTCTTCGATACGCAGTAGAGTTATGAATGAATCAACAAAAGCACGAATGAAGTGAGAGGCAAGAGAATGAATGACAACCCAGAAGGGGTGCACATACTCTGTAGGGATGTTCAAGTAATGCAACAGATGGTGATCTTTCACCGGGATGGGTAGAGATGGACACTCGAAATAAACGGGCTCGCCGAATTTCGGTGCTTCCGAGACACGCGCGCTTATCACCTGGACACTGCACTGTGATGCGAAAAAAACCACGCGGGTGCAAAAAAAATCACAACAATACTTTATGTCGTGTGAGAGACCGGGACCGTGTTAACCGACTCAGCGCTCGATACGGAATGACTTCTTGTCCTGTTGTGTTCACCACTCCGTGGATTGTGTTTCACAGATTGTTGAGGTCCTCGTTCACGTTGATTTTGCTAATCCGCTCATCAAGCTTCTGGCGATACTTTGCAGCAACACCTTCTGCTGACAAGCAATCGATATTCAAACGCATCGATCTCCGGTTCGTTGAACGCGTCGACAGACGCGCACGAATTTTGCCGACTACAAGATAATGATCTGAGTCAATGTTAGGCCCTCTGAAAGTTCTCACATCGATAACATCTGAGAAGTGGTGCCGACCATCCACCAACATGTGGTCAATCTGAGTGCAAGTTTCGCCATTTGGATGTCTCGAGGTGTGCTTTCGGATATTCTTGCATGCAAAGTAGGTGCTACAGATGGCCATACCTCTAGCAGCAGCGAATTAATTAGTTGCAGGCCGTTATCATTGGTTACTGTATGTAAGCTCTCTGTACCAATGATTGGACGAAAGAAATCTTCCCTCCCAATCTGCGCATTTGCATCTCCGATTACACGTTACCGACATCCCGGGATCGACCTCAACGGGAAATGAATGTAATGTCGGCCTAAATGCCCCCAATTTGGGCCCATACATAAATTCAGCAATGGACTAAATTTTCAATAGCGACCAAAAATATCCATTAATACCGTCCCAATGACGCGTTCATCTAGATAAAATTGATAAATAGCAGATTTTTAGCGATGGGCCCAATCTTAGATCCATAGGCCAACTTTGAAGCCATTTCCCCTAGTACTAATTTATTTGAACAGGCATAGAGAAGAACCATAACGTGAAACAGGATCATAACTTCTCCGAAAAAAGTGTTAAGCGTCTTTCTGCTAGAGGCTAAAATTTACCAACTTGTTGAGAGAAGGAGCTTAATGAGAAAAATTAAAAAGGGGAGGAGCTTTAGCTGGGTGGACACTGATGTTCTGCGGCCTTTCAACCTGTCGCAGACACCTGTCCAGGCAGTAGACGGGCCGAGACTCTTGCGAGTGCCCAATCATTGAACCGAAGAATATGGGATTGTCCGGTCCGATTTGCTGATCCAGCTGCCTACACGTCAGTATCATCTTCCAAAGGCTTAAAGCCTGTACTACCATCCACCAAGATTTTCCAAAAGAGTTAAATTTCTGAACATGTCTCAACTCAAATTCATATCAAAAGGTTCAAGCAAACCAAAAATTTATTACAAAGAATGTTAGTTCCATTTCCTATCATCCTCTGTTCATGTACATCGCAGCGAATGTTAGAAGTTGACCTTGCAGGCGATGTAATGGTTTTTTGCCTTTTTTATTTCGTGTTCTGTCTGTGCTTTCACCTACACAAGCAAGCAGTTGCCTTGATTTTTATGTATAACATGGTAGAACGACGCACACACTTGCCTCGAATCTCTCCATCAGAAAAAGCATACGAAGTCAAGTGTGAGAGGAAATGAGCGCTTGTTGTTTGCTTTTAGGCTATCGATATTCAGAAGCATGGAGAGAGCAGTGGAGAAAGCACAGGTCTGAAAATCGCAACGTTCATTGTTCGCGTCCAGTCGGCAACCTTCTTCCTATTTTTTTCGACATAATTAATTTCACTCACTAATACACTCCACATTTTTCGGTCTTAAATTTTCTTGCATTGGACCGCAGCAAGGTATATTGCATCCTCGGTTCATGCGGTCTCCACTTACATCCTCTGATGATGAATCCCACATAATTGTAAGCGAATCTTACATCCACCGGTTGGGTGTTCCTTTCAGGGCAATCATAGTCATTAGACTGATGCAAAATTTGACTTTTTCGCTCCACAGTGCTTAAATGGTTTCAAATCGGGTCATGATTAGCCTCCAAAAGTTACAACTCATTTGGTTAGAAACAGACTTCGCACAAACCATTTGAAGTTTACATGTAAATTACTATGAGAAATCTCAACTTTTTGTTCATTGCCTTCTAGTCTTTTTCCATATTGAGCTGCAAAAACAGCTTGATAGCTATTCTTATAGAAAATTTTCTCAGCTACAATTTTGCTGAAGATCGTTTCTATGTAAAACGAGACAGGAAATAGTTATTAATTATTTAAGAGATTTGTAGACTTATGACATGATCAAGCAGCTGCTCTGTAGGCATTTTTGTGTCCTATTCAACGCCCCAGAAACACCAATGTTGCCTGCTGAGCAGTTGATTGAGCATGATCATAAGACATCAGTGCATTGAACCATTAATAACTTTCGATCCTTGCATTTAATCAAAAAGTGGTCTTTAGCAAAGTTGTAGAAGCAAAGTTAAAGACTTTTGAAGTAGACCGATATGGTGAATTATTAGATAGACATGAACAAAAATCTTGGTTTTACCATAGTAATTCCCATACAAACTTCGGATGGTTTGTGCCATCTCAGTTTCTCACCAAATGGGTTCAAATTTTGAGAGGTTAGTCAGGATCCGATTTGGAATCGTTTAAGTATTGTGGAGCGAAAATTTCAAATTTTGCATCACTCCACCCAACCGGTTAACATCTATAACTCTCACGCCAAAGTCACGAGTTCAAATCTCACCCCCGGACAAGTCACGAATGACCCAAGAGTGTTAAAGTGACTATAATAAAAAAAAAAATAGATAACAACCGGTGGATGTAAGATTCGCTTACAATTATGTGGGATTCATCATCAGAGGATGTAAGTGGAGACCGCATGAACCGAGGATGCAATATACCTAGCTGCGGTCCAATGCAAGAGAATTGGAGACCGAAAAATGTGGAGTGTATTAGTGAGTGAAATGAATTATGTCGAAAAAAATTGGAAAAAGGTTGCCGACTGGGACTCGAACCACGAACGTTGTGATTATCAGACCTGTGCTTTCTCGACTGCTCTCTCCATGCATCTGAATATCGATAGCCTAAGGGCAAACAAGAAGCGCTCATTTCCTCTCACACTTGACTTCGTATGCTTTTTTTGATGGAGAGATTTGAGGCTAGTGTGTGCGTCGTTCTACCATGTTATACATAAAAATCAAGGCAAATGCTTGCTTGTGTAGGTGAAAGCACAGACAGAACACGAAATAAAAAAGGCATACAAGGCCTGCAAGGTCAACTTCTAACATTCGCTGCGATGTACATGAACAGAGGATGATAGGAAATGGAACTAACATTCATTGTAATAAATTTTTGGTTTGCGTGTACATTGCATACAACCCCATAGGGCTGTCCCTTGTAGTTTTTTTTTAAGTGAAAAGAGTTGCTACACGTTTTTTGACGTAGAACTACGTCTTTGTCGACTATACTGGAGTGCAAATCAAAAAATATGTGTGGTGAAGGAGTGTTAGGTTTTGAACGCTTGTAACTTTGTCATTTATAGATGAAATTTGAATCCAAATACGCCATTTGATAGGATATTACATTACGAACCAGCTGAAATAAAAAAAATCCAATTTTTCTGAAATCAAACTATTGAAAATTTACAAATGATAATTTTATCACATTTTTCATGAAATAAGCCTTTTTTTCCAAACCCAGTCATCATAAACGAATACCACTTGGTTGCACATCATTCTGCTTGAACATGAAAAGATATAAATCAGCGCTGCTCTCCTGCCTCTGCTCATTCCCGCTTCGGACGGCGTGGCACTAGGTCCTGCAGCAAGCAGGACTAAGTCAGCGGTTAAAGGTGGATCACGGCGTGTCCACCACAATGAGGAATGAGACTTGAAAAAACGTGCATGTAAAACCCCCTCCCTCTTAACAAACCCTCCCCCTCCCCCTTAACAATAACCCGAAAAAGACATGGACTTTGACGAACTTTTTTTCCGGGAAATAAATTTTAAGCAAACCACAATTAGGCCGAAACAAATCTCAAGTTTTTCTTTTGTCACCATACAGGGGGAAATAAATTTAAAAAAAACTTCACTGTATATTTATTTTTCGAGTATCGCTATTTAATTTGGGTATGGATACTCGCTTTGCTAGATCTTATTATGTTGTAGAATACCACCTTGTTCTTTTACAGAATTTTTACATAAATTTGAACTAGACCGGTACGGCATGCCTGGTCCTTGAAAGCCGATTTCAGTTGTTGAAAACGGATTTTATCGAACTCATTCCTAATCTTTTTTGGCAACTCACTAGGTAAGCCGTCTTCAATCTGATCGATCCCTCTTGTTCGTTGGGCACATCTTCGTCGTGTTCCAGTCGGATCACTACCACGAACCATTCTCATTGGGTCGTTATCCGACATTCTTACGATGTGCCCAGCCCACCATAGTCGCCAGATTTTTGCATTCGATCTAAGTTTCTTAACTTACAAACCTGCTGCAATTATACTAAATTTTTCAATTCTTTTCTACAGTTATTCAACCATTTCCGAGCTAAATCCAATCTTTTCAAAATTGGTTTAAATTTTTTAGAAGTGAGACCAAATCAGAAACGATTCAGGAAATTCCT